GATTCTGTATTGCTATGCTGATCGTTTTATATATATATTTGCCAAGGCGAGGAAGAGCCTAGAGAAGTCCTGGCATTCAGAGCCTATATACACAGGTTGGCAGAGTATTGTGAGAACCAAACTGTCGCCGCTGTCATGCTGACATAGACGACATGCACATCATGCACATCATGCATGAATACGTCCATTTCTTTCGAGAGACTGGGCCATCAGCTCGAATCATTAAATGGCAGTCGTTCAACTCGGGCGCATATATCGAAGCCCCTTTCAGGGTCCGCTCGAGCGTCTTCCAGCGAAAACCGACGTAGTCTATGGAAGTACATCTCGCGAGCGAGGAAGGTACGGCCCAATAGCGCCACATCGCAAGCATCGTAGCCCGACCAGAACCCGGCAACAGGAGCGGACCGAATTCGAAGTGCAGAAGCACACGGCCCAAATCCCAGATAGGGACAAAAATTAGCGGTCAAGTCGCCAAAGAATTGGCATACTCAACACTCCAATCAAAACATAAACATAAAAACCTTTCATCCATCATCTTCCACCGCAAACAAAACCTTCATCCACAAACTGCAGCCTCGGCATCCGACAACAATCTCCCCATGCTCTGCCTCCCTCTCCAAATCCTCCTCCGTAACCATAAACCCCTTCTCATCACCACAGCGACAACCCCGATACCAAAGCGCCGGATCCTGAGCCTCATCAAAGGCCAAATCTTCAAGATCAACGACCTCCAATCCGGTGTGAAAGACCGCCGCCGTCTTCTCGCGCTGAACGGCCTTCGCCCGGTCTAACCGCAGAGACCGGTCATATTCTGCGCGAAGCTGCGGATCGGCTAGGGTCCTATAGGCGGTTGTTATCTCGTCAATTGTGTAGATCCTAGTGCTGTCGCGCGGTAGATCTTGGTTTGTGGGTGTTGGGAGATCGGCGCTTTTTGCGACGGACGAGACTTTATCTGGATGGTTTTTGAGGAGAGCTTTGTGGTAGGCGAGTTTAAGTTGCTGTTTTGTGAGGGTAGTGGTTGTGAATTGGAGATTGAGGATTTCGTAGTAGTCGTGTGCGACCGGGTTTGAGCGAGTCATTTTGGTGGGCGGGTTGCTGTTCATGTGCGGTTTGTTTTGGTCAGTTGAGTAGAGAGATTTCCATCGAGACCTAGGTTTGTAGAGTGAACCTTCAGAGGTTGTATTTTTCTCGTTGGAAGCGGTTCTTTGGTGGTGGGTTGGATTAATGTGGCGGTTGCGGAAATCGGATTTAAGACTTTCGTGATAAATGTCGGCTCTGGTCAGTCACCGCCGCCACTCTATTGTTACTCTATCTACCACACACGCTCTTCGCTTCCAATTGCGGATGACGGTACGTACCACATGAATTATATGTTGCTGTTTGGTGGTACAAGATGAAGACTACAGATATACGGGATAGTACACTGACAGTGCAGCTTTGTGGTAAGATGTCCGATGCGAAAAAGTTAAATCTATTTAACGAACTCCACACATTTGCCCAGTGAATGACCCACATCTAAGGCATATTAATATGGCAAGGATGCCATCTCTAACGGCTAGTATCTAATGTGACACGACGGATATCAAAAAGTCAGAAGATAAATAATGATAGCGCTGCAACCAAATTCGATCAAAACAGACATCAGGGCACCGAACCCATTTACTCAGAGCTCTTGAACACATAGCGGTCTTCAGGCTTGGTCGTAAAGGGAACACCGAGCTCGAGAAGCTTGACATAAACCTCCGTGAAGTCCTTGAAGAATGCATCGCTGTCGCGGGCATAGCGCTCGACGTGCTTCTTGAACTCCTTGTCCTTAATGAAAGCCATGTCCGCGGGCAGCATCATCAAGGTTTTAGTGGTCTTGTCCGTGAACTGAGCAGGTCCGTTCCACTTCCTCTGCTGCCACTTCTCATCGACCAGCAGCCTGAAGAATTCGTTGGTGAAGACAGTCGGGCTGAAGTTCCAAGGGCCGTCGAAACCAGAGCGGTCAGGGTGTGCGCGGCCGAGGGCGTGGGCACCAATCAGGGCCACAATCTCCTGGTCGTTGAATCCCATGCGGTAGAAGATGTCACGGACATGTCTCTGGTCCTTAGAGGCGTCAGGCAGACGGCCGTCAGGGGTGCAGGCAGCCACGTCCTTGTCCTGACGACCGGGTCTCCAGGGAATGGCAGGGCCACCTAGCTCCTGGATGGCGGCGGAGCCAGCCAAAGTCCAGAGGTCGGAGTAGGTGATCCAGGGGAACTTCGCCTTGACGGGCTCCAGGAAATCTCTGGCGGCCTTAAGACCGGCGTTGGCGCCGTGGTCGGACTCAGGGGCGAATCTCATTGTGGCACCATTGCTGCCTCCAGTGCCCGTCTCCTTGTCGTAGGTGCCACTTGCGTGCCATGCCAGACGGACGAGGACCTATGCACAGACAATCACAGGTTAATTTCAACTGCTTACTTAGCTTGGTTGAGATGACTTACCGGTCCATAGCTGCCGTCATCATAGTCAGTCTCGTCGGCGAGGCGACGAGCAATCTCGTCGTACACCTTCTGATAGTCTTCCTTGGCGGGGACAAAGTTCTTGGAGGTGACAGAGTCACCACCCTGCAGGTAGAAGTATGCACCGGCACCACCGGCAAGGGCGACACCAGCCCAGAGAAGGGTGTTGCTGGACTTGGTCTCACCAGCGTCCGAAGCATAGCCACGACGGCCCGAGGCACGGAAGGTTTGAGTGGGAAGAGCAAAACGAGTGCTGCGCGCAGCAGGTCTGAAGGAAGAAGTGGCCGAAGTCGAGCGGAGGAAGGCCCGGGAGGCGGATCTAGCAGCCGAGGCCATGGTGAAGAAGACTCAGGAGATAAGAGATTATGTGGGAGGTGGGAAAGGTATCAACAATCAACCCAATCACTGCAGATGCAGATGAGGAGAGGATAGAAGAAGAGGTAGGAGAAGGTAAAAAGGAATGAATGAATGACAAAGAGGGAGAGGAGAGGAGAGGAGAAGGAGGAAAAGATGAGGACAGGACACAATTAAAAACTACTAATACCTCCTCTTCGTTCCAGAGTCGGAAGCCCATCGAAGCAGGCGATATGCACCAATCACAGGGGCTTCGGTACAAACAAAGCTCTGGACCCAAATCTTTTGACTCAGCAAAACGTCTCTCCGCATTTTCTACAGGTTCGGGTTCCTAGTCTGAGGGGGAAATTCAATGCTTGACTGGACATTGGCTATTGGATGGACTACCGCCGTGGCAATCTCAACTTCCGATCCATGGCTCCTTTCCATTGACCCTGAGCCATTGTATTCAGGAGTTTACTCAGAGAGACAATGATATTGCGTTCTAGTTAGCATTCGCAATTCATTTCTAGATTCATTAACACATATGTTCTATTTCCTCCACTGGAGGGGCTTCGACACTCCTTCTTCATGATCAACAAACATCAAACCGATATCCAGGGCGGATCCACATGGTCAATTAATCGACCTCATCCATTATTAATCGCAACGCGTTGTTTGGTGAAAGTGACCCGCCAAGCCTTAGTAACCGAGGATTATTGAATCGTGTCCATCCAGACTCTCCTCATTACTAACGGAAGCTCTTTGAAGCAAGTTCTTTGTCAGGGCCAATAATGCAATGGCCTTGCAGCACCTCTTCTTGGGTACCCTCCACATCTCGTTAGGTATACAACAATTTTCATTGCAAGTCATTTTCTCTTCCAAGTCATACTACCGCGGTATGTCACTCCGACCTAAAGTACCTGACATCTGCAGGGCCAAAGGCCCTCCCAAGAACCCAATTCCCCACAAACTAGATATTTAGGTATAACCTCAAGATGTTCGTCGTAGAAATAGTCCTGCCGTTCGATATAGCGAACGCCAGGGTGGAGTAGACGCAGCCCTGCTAAAAGCTGTTTGGTTTTGATCTCCCACTGAACGAACTAAAAAAAAAGCATGCCTCTTCGCCATTGAAAAGGCTCGAAGCGCACTGTGTGGTTTTTGTTCGGGTGCTGATGTTGATGTAGTTGTGTTTCTAGCTAAAATCCTACTGGGTTGTCGATCGCATCGTATGCATCATAATATGTATGTATGCATTGATCGGGATAGAGTATGGTGCTCACGACATTGAAGCACTATGCGCTAATCCGATGTGATGTTGGATGGGATAGAAAGAGAAAGCAAATTCATCCTTGCGAAGAAAAATGAGAAGAAAACTCGGATGCTGGTCACATGATCTAAGCGGTCTCGGTTAGTCGCTAGTCTCATTTGTTTCGTTCGTATAGAGCACCCTGTACCTAGTTTGACTCTGCTGGCATCATTCTAGGTAGAATATAGGGGTGAATGAGATATCAAAATACTATGTTAGACCTTTGACAAGTCTGGTATTAATTGTAGAGCCATCGAAAGAATTCTATATAGCTTATGAGCTAAGTGGCTGTTACTCATCCCATAGAAGACATTCCATCACCTCTTCTGGGACTAACAATAGCACCGCATCACGTGCCGAAACGCCCATATAAAAACTTCTTCGCCTGGCAATCTCTACTCTTCTTTTTTTTTTCCCTCACACTTTTACCTACGATCGCATAATCAACCTACATTCCCTGTTCACCTACAGGATAGTGGGTCATATTGGCGAACTAGATTGATGTCTGGGCAATATAAGGCTTCTTTACCGTGCTGGGCTCCTTCGGGGGCCTATATGTGCGATGGTGGATGGAGTCACCTGCTGCTCACACATTCTTTATCGACTTTGTTTTTAGTATGTAGCGATGGCTTCGTAGAACCGCCTAAGCACAACAGTACTAGAGTAGGCGTACCTCAGCCAAGAATATCTGAAAGGGTACCTCTGATGCTACTTTGATCGTGGCCAAAGCCTGAAGTTTCAGCTGGATGACCCTGCAGAATCTTCTCAATTGAACTTCGGTACAGTTTAGTAGTTGTGTGAATGAACCTGCTCTGCGCGAGAGGATCCATCAGCGTCAGTCAAGGGTAACAACAAAACACAAATGTAAAAAAGAATGCAACAGCTGGGGTTCGAACCCAGGACCTCGGCCTAATCCCAATCGGCTTTAGCCAATTTTCCTCAGAAAGGTGGGAAGGCCGCATCATAACCACTAGACTACTGATGCTTTACTTGTCTGTAAGAAACAGCAATCCTATTTATCAGGCACATTCAGGATTACTATTCTTGACTTTTCAAACCTTGGTTCGAGCAGTTTTAGCAGCTATAGTGGGTCTATATCCTAATTTCGTAGCATAACTTTGCTTGTGGCTACTTTTAATACTCGGGGTGCCACTGGTTGCGTGGTTACTACCTTTAGGGCTTTTAGTATATCGAAAAAGCTACCTACCTGGATACTGGTGCAGACAAAGCTCCGAGTGATTGGATAGAATGGTTTGAAGTCCTATCAAATCAAACAAACTAGCGAATGATGATTATGAGGCATGGATGAATGCTAATATCATAGTAGAATAATATTTGACTTACAAGTGACAATCAGTCCTTTATGTAACCGTGACTGGTGGTCTTATACCTAGCAAACATTCATTTGTCGATTGAGTCAAATGCTTAGAGCATTCCGTTCAGGTGCTATAAACTAAACTCTAATGAACCGACTTCTGTAGCCTTAAAGGTATATGTGTGATCGCCGATTGCATCAAGGACTAGGTTGTGGTTGAGCCAGTGCTACTAGTTGGTCATCGTCTTATTGTGGGGTGGTGAAAGGTAGTGTAGTAAAAACCGGTATTTGCTGCTGGGGTAATCGACTTGCAATGCCTCTCCAGTGTGCTCACACTGTACACTTTCGTGTCTAACATATATCTTCCACCTGCAGTCATCTAGTGAAAGATCACAATATTAACTCGAATGTAGATTAATTACACTTCACAGCCTAGGTCGAATGGTCTGTCCACCTTCCCAGAAATCACCAGCCTCCAGAGTCTGCCACCCAGCCACGGAACCGGCCTCGACACATATCATGTTCTTGTATGCCTCGTCAGGGCCAAAGTCGGCCATTCCCTTGGCCTTTTCGATCCAAGGATTCCATACAACGACGTCGTTTAGGCCCTCCCGAGAGAGGGAAAAAATAGGCTTGTCATCACTGGCGGAGGATACAATAATGGGAACCTTGGGGTCCAATGACTGGTAGACTCGGTCTGTTTCCTTGTTGATCTCGATAGCGGGTGATGTTTCGGTGATGACGGCGGCATTCTGCGTCTTGTCAACGTAGGACTTGGATTCGAGGTTCTTGACGCGGACGTCGGTGATGTCCTGGTTGCGGATTAGAATTCCAGAAGAAAAGCGAGGGTTGGCTTAAGGGCTTACATCGATCTTGAAATAAGTATGCATCAATACCTGGAAGTCGAAGTTCTGACTTCCCTTATTTTGTACCTGGAGGTTGGTCTCAAGGCTGTCCTTGGTCAGAGTAACGCTATACACCAGCCCAAAGTCATATGTCCACGCCTTCTGGAATTCTTCGGTGAGCATGGGGCGGGAAAGACCGAAGTCAAGCTTGACGGAATCATCTCCGCTACGATCCTTGCCTAGGGACTCTGACGACGACTTGCCCAGAAATTCCCATGTGCTGTTACGTGCAAAGCCGTGTTGTGGGAGGGAGGATGTGGCATGATTTTGAGGGGGAGGGCCGAAGACCTACACATTTGGTGAAAGAAATCATTAGTTATTGTACACGAAGGCGGGGGTTGATAGAGTTAACTTACGGGGAAAACCACCGGAATACCACCCCGAATTGGCTTCGATCCATCGAGATGAGCCTTCTCGCTCACGAACAATTGCTCCTTGCCATTTGCGAGCTTCCAGGATGTGACGGTAGCTCCGTACAGGTGAACTGTAACAGACTCGCCGGTGGGCAGCGTGGCTTCGACAGTATTGTCGCGGAAGGAAATGGTGGGCTGAGGGATAGGTCCACCCACGCCGATGGCCGAAGGTTTGTTAGAGCGATCCATTGTAGATAGATACCACAACGGGGCTACTGGTAGAATGAAAAGAAGATGATGTTGATGGGATGATTGATGCGATGCGGGGGACCGCCGAAAAGTAACAGTGGGGCACGTGGGGCTGCCTTATATCATCTTCTAGGACCAGTTACATAATCCACGCATGACATCAACACGGCGATTTTATCCACCTGATGGCTCTAGACATAATGAGCAAAGAGTAAATAGAAAGAGAATCGTCTAGGCACCGTTTCTAGCATTGGTAATTTCTCTGTTCCGGTGACGGCGCCGGCGACTCTGCTGATACACCGAGTACTATATTTGTCTGATGAGCAAGCGGCGCTGCGGAATGTGTCCCAGAACATAGTTACTAACCCGACCCAGACGTGCCTATTAGCGTCAGTATGTATGCATGAGACACTCTGCTTATCTACTTACAAGACATGTCGCCAAGCCATTGAGTGGCTCGAAGCACACAGGGAAGCAGGATATAGTTCTACTTATAGACATAACCGAGAGCGAAAAGGTGAAGATATGCTCCTAATGTGTTGGACTGGTTAGGTAGTGAGTAGGTTAGTGAGAATGAGAGTATGCGCGGGGGAGGTATGAGAAGGATGGAGTAAAGGGATGAGGTGAAAATGATGGGCGACTTCACATCACCTGACTGTTTGTCAAAGACAGGTAGAGATAGTGACACTTCGTTTCACAAGTCAACATGATGAGGATCTAGATTGGGGGTGTTTCAGATTAGCAATATCCCGTTGTAGAGAGCTGTTAAGATCTCAAAGGCCGCCGTACCAACAAAGAGCATTTGAGGTTTGAATCTGGATGTGCAGCCAGAATATTGCAAGCGGCCACCCTGCTGTAGGCTGAAAGATGGAGGTATATGATTATGAAACGCTTCTGATTGTTCTAACAGGGCTTCATGCTAAATCAATGGAAATCAAACACTATTGCTTAATAGTAAGAAGTAATGAACTCACTACACAGAGTGAGAGAAGAGTCAGAAAGAAGAGAGCAACCTTTTTTCAATAGTACTATGCACCCTAAGGCTACGAATATTAGATGAGTTTCCTGGTGCATACTGTCATGTACCTTTAGCTACTGAAAAGAACGCCTTCCCCGACTCATTACTCAGACGTCAATGGATATCTTTTCATGTAGGATGATGTGTCCCCGATTCAAACACGTTGCTTGATCGGAAGCAGATTTTAGTCGAGTATTACTGGTGCAACACAAGTGAGACACGCCTTCTAAAAGAGAAAAAGGCCACTTCTGGCTCTTAGCTCCAAAGCCATAATTCATTGTTATCGGTGGGAGGAATGAAATATGATACTATGCAATTAAAGCAATTGACAAGGGTAAGCTCCTTGGAATCAGTGTCTTACGTTGTTACATGCGTTCATATATCAATAACACATGCGACTAGATATATACAAGCCTTCATAGTATGGTATTCCTCACAAACACCAATGAACTAGTTTTTCCCTTCAGCTTGCTCATTTAGCTGATCCGTAAGCCGTCGGGCAGCTTCAGCAGTATACCGAGGCCCTTTGTAATTACGCCTACCACAAAAAGCCCACCAAATCGCCGTCATCGCCACTAGACCTGCAACGATAGCGCTGGTGAAGTTCATGTTATGCACCGTAACAGGAAAAACCGGCGGGAAACAGAAGAAAACTACCGTCACAAGAATATATACCGCAGCAGCAACATTAACAAAGAAACCAATCCGCTTCCCCATATAGAAAGGCCCTGGGACTATGTTCTTCCGACCAGTCAATATATGCGGCAGAATAGCCCCTAGGTAGGATAGTGTGCTTAGCACTATATAAGATGATATCAAGGCCTGGAATGCGGTGGTACTCGCTATGTAGATACAGCCTAAACATGTCACCATGGTGCTCACAGCTATGGTTGCACGGACGGGACTGTTCAGTTTTGGATGAATTTTACTGAAATAAGAGGCGAACGGAGTTGCGTTGTCCCTGGCAAGGCTCCACCACATACGGCCGCCTGTGACCAAGGTTCCGATTAGGGTTGGGAAGGTGGCGAGGAAGAGGACGGCGGTTAGCCCGATTGCGCCTGTGCTAGAGCCTGTGGCTTGTCGGTATATCTCGGCTGTTGGGAAGACGGCGATTCTGCTTCGGAAAACGGCCTCGATGTCTTGAATAGAATAAAACAGCGCGATCAGATATATGAATGCAGTGATGAATGCAGTGAGCATCTGAAGCATGATCCCTTGGGGGACTTTGATCTCAGGGTGAGGCACTACCAAATGAGTTAGAGTGTTGTTGAAAAGTGGAAAAGTGGAAAGGGCATACCTTCTTCAGATAGATGGCTGATACAGTCAGGAACTCCGACTGAAAATGCTGCATTCAGTAGTCCAGTCATGAAGCTGACACCATCTGGCCATCTCCCCGTGTTATGAAATTGTGTCCACACTGCGGAGCTACTTGCATGTTTCTGTGGCATAACCGCGAGGATGATAACAGTTATAACTAATCCGCACATTGAAAGGATTAGGGCAATTCGGTTAATGAGAGGAATGAATCGATTTCCTGCACAGACAATTCCACAGCAGGCCCAATTAACCAACTGAAAGGCGATAAAGACCTGCCACGGATGCCATTCAATTCCTGGCCTCCGAAGCATATGCATAGCCATGATCTCGTTTCCCAGCATCGAGGCGATGGATGATGCCGAAAGAAGCCAGGCACATGCATTGAGATACCCTGTAAAGAACCCGGCGGCTCGTCCATGTTTCCGACCTGACACCGATGACCAGTAGTAAACTCCTCCAGCGGATGGCATTGATGAGGCGAGCTCGGACAAGGAAGCAGAAATCAGCGTGTAGAAGATGCTGACGAGGATCAGACCATATAAAACAGCCATTGGTCCCCCGTTTTGCAAAGCTGCAACAATGGTGCCTCCTGTTGAAGCCCAAGAACTACTGCCAGTTAGTTCACTAGCACTTCTATTTGTGCTATAGGCTATTGCTTACTTGGCAATGACAATCCCTAAGCTAGTTAAGCTGAAAAGGTCGAAATTACGAACTAGTTCTTGCTTGTGTCCTAGCGTGGATTCTAGTCGCGGTGCATCCATTGTGCGTTATTGTAGGGCAATGTCGGAAACGATATTATTGAGGGCATCCGAGGCAGCGACCTGCAGT